GAGAGAGTGAAGAGAGAGAGAGAAGAGAGAGAAGAGAGCATGTGCGATGAGCAATAGCTGTGGACCTTACAGTTGCTGCTAACTGCCCTGGTGTGTGTGAGGGAGAGAGAGAGAGAGGGAGGGAGGGAGAGAGCGCGCTAGCGCGAGAGAGCGAGTGAGCTAGCTAGCAGAAAAGAGGTGGAGAGGGGGGGAATAAGAAAGAGAGGAGGAAAGGAGAGAAGGCAGGAAGAAGGCAAGGGACGATACAACCATGCTGTGCTGTATGAGAAGAACCAAACAGGTAGAGCTAAGATTTTTACTTCTTGCTGATGTGAAATTACCAGAGTACAGTATTTCCCTGTACAGGCAGAAAAAAAAATATTTTAACTGCCTCTGCTCTGGCCATGGTGCTCGCGTTTTCTTAGCATATGGGAGCTGAGGGTTGCATCTTAGCTTTTATTCTAGTCTGTCTCTCATGCTCTGGTTTTGGAATGCTGCTATTAATTAGGATGAGGTTAGGAAAAAATACGCCTGTTGGGCTAGAAATAAGAAATATTTTTTTGGGGGGGAGGGGGCTATTAGTAAATGTTCAGCATTTCAGGTCTCCGGTTTTGCGGGTTTGGATATAGAAAGGGGTGTGGGGGGAAAGACGTGGGCGCTACCTACAAGATAGGGAGGCAACCCTTTATATAATTTGCAAGAAGCAGGATCGAAGGAATAATATTCAGTAATAAGTATTGCTTGCTCTGTCCTACAATTTTTGTCACATGTGCTGCGGAAGAAGCCTTATTTCCTACATGCCTGCGCCTCAAATGGGCGCAGGTGTTAATGGAAGAACATGTGAAGGTTTTATTTATTTATTTATTTATTTTTCAAGGAATGAATGAAACCGATTTGGAATTTTTTTTTCTCAAAAAGAAAATCTAAAGACAACTGGGGCTGGGGGAGAAATTGGCCGTGTGGAAAGGGGAAACCCCCGTAAGCCGATTGTGCACCAGCTGGTCCGAGCAGAGGGTGGACCACGCCCCTAGGAGCTCTGAGCTCCGATGAGAAAGACGAGCCGAGTGTTACCTGTTGGAAATCGGGTATTTTCTCCCCTTTTCCCTTGCATCTTTCCTCGAATTGTCAGTGACTAGAGATGGGCTAACATTCTGGATAATAAGCGTGGTGACTCATGTTCATCAGGGAGAGGGGCACATACCAGATGAGTGAGAGCCCGAGTCCCCTCCCTTCCTCCCTCCCCCACTGCCCAGGTTTTTCTTCCATTTCAAATTGCTCACTTATTTCTTGAAAGACATTTTAGAAACTTGACTGGGGTGAGAGTGGAGAGGCATGGCGAGCATGGTATTCCGCAGGAACCCACGGTGCCGTGGCGTTCGCCAAACCAAGCTTTCAAACATTTGTTGGAACACGTTTAGAGATTTTGGCGAAGGTTAAGGAGAAAAATGGGTGTGGGGTGTGGGTGAGTGTGTGTTTGTGCGTGTGTGTGTGTGTGTGTGTGTGTGTGTGTGTGTGTGCGTGCCCGTGGGAGGGGAGGCAGCCTTGGTCAAAGAAGCCCTTTGCAGATTGATTGCCTTAGAGATGGGGGCAAGAGACAGGAATTGGGCATTATGCCTGTGCAGGTATTGGATGGATATTGGGCAATTCGTAATACTCTCTCTGAATCCGAAGGGGGTGGGGGGGGGAGTGGAGAAGAAACAGCCTGCCAGCTTTGCACATTTAGCCAGCGCCCTGAAAGGAGGGGTGGGGAGTGAGGATGAAGGAGAAGGAAGAGGAAGGGGAAGAGAGACTGAAACAGAATGTCATAGCAGTGGGTGGAGAGGGTGGAGAGGTACAGCATAAATAAATAAATAAATAAATAAATAAATAAATAAATAAATAAATAAATAAATAAATAAATAAATAAGTGGCTAGCTAACAACAGGTACGTGAAATTTTGTGTGTGGTTTGTGTAGGGGTGTTTGGGGAACAGCGAGAGTCTTACATGCTGTAGTTTCCTAAACTGACTGCTCTGTGGTTCTAGAGATTGATGCTTCCATTGGCTCTCATTTTTCAAACCAAGACACTTCCTCTCCTTGTCTTCGTTCCTTCTAATACATAAATGCAGTAGATACAGGTGGCTGGGTTAAGCACACTGTCAAGGAAACGTCCTGAGGGTTGCCCCACTGGCGAGCTGGGGAAATAAAATTTAGGAAGGCAGAGCCCTAAGGAAGCCAGTGCTAGTCATTTAAAAAAAGCTTTAATTTTGAAAAGGAAAATATGCCGGTTTACAACTTTTTGCCACTCTGTGTATACACCTACAAGTATACACACATACCTTTCCTTCGACAAAGGAAACCAGGCATGATTTTTAGAAAGGGAATTGAGGCTAAAGGAATTCCCTTCCCCAAAAGGGGACAGCTACCTGCATCAGTGTTCTATCTCAGTGACAGCCCCAAGTGTTCACTGGGATGTGCAAAGTGATGAAGCTGAAATCGTGTATTTAGAGAGTTGTCTAAATTGGCATGTAAATGTGTATAATCTCTGCACACTTCATATATAGCAGTCATGCATGTGCTCTGTATGGCTTCCACATGCCTGCCTGTGTTTTAGCATAATTTATATTCAGGAGAGAGAAGGAGAGGTATAGCAATTGTCCTGTTTTGCCCATGCATTTTATAAATGTGTGCTTCTGTGTGAAATGGCCACATTCCCTACTTACCACTGTTGTGTGTCAGTCACGTAAGTACTCAGCATTTAGGGTAGCATTAAATCAGACTGAAGGAAATGGTGTGTTCAGGGCGTGGGCTCCACACTACGCTGACTGGCATTTATATAGTGTGAGTACTTAAGTGTCACACTGGTTCCCTGTTTGTGGGTGAAATGATCCTGTATCATTCATGATCATTCATGGCAGAACCCGACTGTGTTTCTCTCTCTTCTGGCATCTATTCATCATCCTCGTCCTTAACTGGGACTAAACAAGGGCAAAACCCTGCAAAGGTCTAAACTCTGCCACACCCATGAGATCCAGCAGAAACGTGGGCGGGGGCTGGAGAGGAGGCACTTCCTTCCTCTTCCACTTGAGCAGCGTAAAGAGGCAATCTTGGATTTTTGAGTTGTAATATGTTGCCCATGGGTGAGAAGAAAGCATAAATGATCTTTATTGGTCATTAATTACCTACCACCATCGACTATTACAGCAGGAGGAAGAGAATGGGAGTAGGGTGGAGATGAGAAGATGATAAAGGAGTGGGTAAAGGAGGGATAAAATAAAAGAATCCCCGAGATTGTATTGGCTTATGATTTTCAAATATCTTGGGGCTAACTTTCAATAGCTTAATTACCATGCGTATTGCAGATGATGAAAAACTTGCAAGATAGGATCTGCATCCACAAAAGCAAGAAAACTGAGAGGTATTTCCTTTGTTTAAAAATAAGGGCTTTAATTTGTAATTGAAGTGTAAAGAATAGCAATGCAAGCAAGTAGCCCCTCCACCCCCCATCTTCAAGGCCACGAACATCTGCCTTTTTCCTCATACAACAAACCATTCTTCTCTTAGAGAGTGTGGTCTGTGGTTTAGAATTCCAGCCTCGCCTTTCCCTTGCAGTGTGAGAAAGGTGTGGAAGGATGCCGCCTTGCTGCCTGGTGCAGACCATTCATTCCTCCTAGAGATAGATTGGATTCCTCCTAAATCTTGCTGAGCCACACCCAGTGTCACCCAGGGACTAAGTGAATTAATTAAATAAGGCATTCAACTTAATATAATTGAAACTGTTCGTTTTTTTTTTGAATGCTGATTTCTACCACACACTTCCAAATTTAAACAGAAGAAATCACTTAAAAGGGCTGTTTTTCCTTTTTCTGTCAAATTGTCTGGACTTGCAGAGAACCTTAGAAAATGCATGGCAAATCTAGAAATGTGTTGCTATCTGGTGACTGAAATTCCTTCTAACTCATACACAATGAGCTTTGCTGTCTCTCACTGGTAGTCTGTAATTCTGGTCCCTCCGTCCCCACCCATGCGGAGGAACCTGGGATAAGAACATGTAGGGTTAATTTTTTCTCTTGCTGAGCTGGCAAAACTATAGAAACCTCCTTTCATGTTTTATGTTAAAGGGCACTGCTCCTATTCACTGAGAGGGAGAGTGGCAAGTGGTCCTCTTTGCTTCCCTCTTAGCGAAATTGTGAGTGTTATGCCTGGGCCTGATACTTTTGTATACTAGAGTTTTACCTGGCCCCATAAGGAAGGGGGGTTTCCTTTCAGGCAAGAGTAGAGCATATATATTAACCAAATGTTTAAAATTGCCCTCTAATATTAAAGGAACATGTCAAAGGATGCACATACCCAGGTCATCTCAAGCGAAGATACAGCATTCACTTCTTTGTCAGCTGCCATAGAGGCAGTCAGGCAACCAAGCGTGACTGTTGTCAATCTAAGGAGTGATTTCGGGCAGGGATTCTCCCTTCTGAATTTCTCAAGCATGGTCAGGTTGCCATTGAAATCTTTGTAACATTTTCTGAGGTGTTGGGAAGAGCACTGTGTGGAGAGTCCTTAGTTTATGAAACTTACTGATTCTGTGGTCTTGAATGAATGGCATAACCTTGGGCTTTGGTTTCCTCCTAGAAGATGGAGACTAAAAAGCAAAAACAAAATAAAAAACAAGCAAAAATCCCACTCTGCTTACCTTAAGGGATATTTGTAGAGATTACACAAAATTAATGTGAAAAAAAGATCAAGGCAAATGTAAGAAAAGTTTTCTGTCCAAGTTTTGCAATGTGAGGCTTGGTTTAGAACGGCCGGTTTTTCAGGATTGCTCAGTGCCTACTATACTGCCTACTGCCTTTTTTCTCTTAGTGAGTAGTTCCTTCTTGTCACATGATTCCTCTGCTTGTACTCTTGCTTCTCCTACTTTTTCCTGCAGAATCTCATTCCATCATGCCCTATTCCCTCTTGGGGTTTCCTCTCCTGCTGTATTGACTTCTTTCCCTATAGCCTACAAATATGCTCTTGTCTCCTTCATCATTTTTTTTAGATTGTATTGGGGAATTGGGGGAGGGGAACAGCCAAGTTTTTGCCCTTCAATCTTAGTTGTGGAGGGCGCAGCAAGCTCAGCTCCAAGTCCAGTTGTGCCGCTCAGCTCAAGGTGCTGTGTTCAGTTAGTTGCAGGTGGGTGTAGCCACCATCGCATGAGGAAGTCAGACCAGCAGCCTTGTTGTTAAGAGTGCATGCCCTATCCCCTGAGCCACCCGGGCATCAACTTAGTTCAAGGTGTTGAGTTCAGTCCTTAGTTGTGGGCAGGCATAGCCAACCATCTCGA